TACACACACTGAGGGCTATATTGCTCCCAGATGTGGAAGGCATGTTCAGATGGTTGGTTGGTTAGTGTGTGTGTGTGTGTGTGTGTGTGTGTGTGTGTGTGTGTGTGTGTGTGTGTGTGTGTGTGTGTGTGTGTGTGTGTGTGTGTGGCCTAGCATTACTATACTTGTGGGGACCTACATCTGTTTACACAGTCACGTGTGGGGACTGGCTTCCCTTATGGGGACAAATTGAGGTCCCCATGAGAGGAATCATTAATTTTAGGGTGAAGACTTGGTTAGGTTTAGGATTAGGGTTAGGGTAGGGTTAGGGTTAGGCATGTGTTGGTTATGGTTAAGGTTCGGATAAGTCTCCAGGAAATGCATGTAAGTCAATGTAATGTCCCCTGAAATGATGTATACATGGTATGTGTGTGTGTGTGTGTGTGTGTGTGTGTGTGTGTGTTTCAGTAGAAAGTGCAGAAAAAGACATGCGTGTTGTACAAACGGGAATAAAAAGAGCTTGTGCTTCCAAATAAAAATGCGATAATAGCCACCGTGTTTTCAGTACCTGCAGGTGCCTTTTTAAAACCTTTTTTACAAATAAACACTCACTCACATTTTAGAAGCGCTTTAGTAGTAAGGGAACCCTTTCATTCCCTACAAAGTCACAGAGAAATAACTAAATTAACAGTGAAGTCAGTAAAAAAAGGGATTTTCAGGCTGTACAACATTTAGATTTAGGTTGAATGCATATGTTTTATGCACTTTTAGATGATTTTACCAACAAAATATCTGGCATTTACAACATAACACGTGAAAAATACCTATATTGAACTCAGATGAAACAGGAAAACAGTGAATATGCAGATTCTACAAACCTAGAGCTACATTTGTTTGCATTTGTTTCCAGACAGGAGAATTTAAAGGAGCTCCCCAAGCTTCATAGGCGATTGATCACACTGACACCTGGAGTCAGAGGCATAGGAACTCCCATCATTGTCAAAAACTATGTATTTCATTAAAGGAAAAGAGGAAATCCTGGCATAGTTCAGGGTCTCTAAATATACACACACCAACTCACACTTCTGGGTCATAAGTGATGATTGAGAGGGATTATTTTCTACCCGTGTATACATTGTTTTTAAATAAATATTCGACTCATCGTGCCTTTAAGCTGTTTTGTTCTCGCTCATGATTGGATTTAGTGCCTGCATCGTTTCAGTGCACCAAGAAGTCAGTTCATTTAAGTTCATATATTTCAATTACAGATATTGTTAGGCAAAGCAACTAAATATACCTTTAGCTGAGGCTATATAGCTTTGACTTGATATAGCTGTCTCCGGGTGGCAGAGTTTACCGAGCCAGTGTGGTTTGGCTTTGCTTGTTATACTGCAAATACTGCTTAGTGTTTTCATGGAAAAGTTACATTTCTTTGGCATAATAACTTTTTATGTAGTAAATATGTCAACAGATCTTGGTAGTGACCAAATATGTAGTTATCTCAGCTTGGCCTGCATGCCAATAATAGAAAATGTTATTTAAACAACCCATCTGTAACTTTTTATGTTGTAAAATCTGTCAATAGATTCTGGTATTACCTCAAGTTTGACCAAATATGTAGTTATCTCCACATGGCTTGCTGGGCTGAAATAGAAAATGGTATTCAAACAATCAATCTACAACATAAACTAGGCTCGCCTTTCTCCAAGCAGCTTTTTACGGAGGTCAGTATACACAGCTCACTCCTCATATCTTAGCCATAAACAGTAGCCTATTAGCCTGCAGTGCTTTAAACAGGCCCTAATAAACCTCAGGCCACCTACAAAGAGCACAGCTTAAACGTGAGCGTCTGGACACTTTTAAAAGCCGACTGCATTCCTGCTCCAGATGGTAACGCTAAAGGTGTGATAAAAACAAACAGGTTGCTAGTTTTCTGTAAAGACTCTTTGGAAACCATACAGAGGCTGATATCAGATAAGAAGAACAAACGCTATGTTTTAACCTCACGAGAGAAATGAGATAAGAAGTTTCTCAGATGTGAATCCAGGTTAATGAGAGGATTACGTCGCTGCTCATTTCCTTCTCTCCATCTGTGCTCTAAAATTGTGTTTTTCTCCACCACTGTGTGGCCTCCTCCCGGGCTTTTCTGTTGTATTCAAGCTGTGCTGTGATTACAGGCTAGTGGTTCAAAATGTAAACATGAAGTCAAAGGAAGCCCCACTCCACCACCAAGGGAACGCCGTGGCTTCCATTAGACTGATTGGATGAAATCAAAAACATCCATTTAGTGCCATAGACACGCTCACAAAAAAACACCAAACATTGCAAACACACGGGCACCTCGGTTGCTTTCAGATGTTGTTGTGGGCATGGGATGCACTGCCTGCAACCACAGAAAAAGAAATGTTAAAAATATTGTTGTTCTGTAGTTTTCTTTTCTTTGCATTCATGTGGATAAGATGCACATGATACAGTAGGAGGCAATTATTCGGACACATCAACAGTAACCGTCAAATAAGAGGGGTTTTTTATTCAGCCACTGTTTTCCACCTCGCATGTTATACTGGGAGAAATTCATCTTAAAATAAGCCTCCCCTGACAGTTATATTGAAGGAGTGCTTGCAGCCAGAAATATTTTGATTAAAGGATGCAATGCTCCCTTTTTCTGTATAAACACTTAATTGATCAGGCATGTTCCCTCGGGGGTTGTTTGCGAGTCAGTCTGCGACATTAAGGAAGCACAGGCAGGTAAAATAGCAGTAGATGGATCGAGCCAACATCTAATTCCTGCAAAAATAACCTCCCAGATTAATGACACGTCTGGATAACAGCATCCAAATGGCCCTCAGAGCCAGAGCTGCTTAACTGCTCTTGGCTCCAAATGAGAAATCTAGCTTTTTACATTCATAAAAGCTTCCTTGCCACTCACGTCATGTGGTGACCAGAAATAAGCCTGCGCCCACAGCTTCAGAAACTTGGCTTCAGAGCACTAGGTTGTAACTCAAAGGTTTTGACCTAAAACGCTCATTGTAGTACATCCCAATGTTGAGACTACCCATAGAAACAGCTTTGTTTTTCCAAACTATTTGGTGTTATTGTTTAGGCCCAGCCCTGTTACACATCTCAAGGGTTTCTTATGAATACCATAAGTTGTGTATTTGGTGTTACCCTCAGAGCTTCATGCCAGGGACACGCTGGACTTGGAGCTGACTGTGTGTGTTGGATCAAAGTGAAAGAGAGGAATGGAGTCGGCTCCATCACCACAAAACAGAGCTCAGAGCCCCATAAGCCCTTCACTTACAGACCAACCACGGAGACTACGACCCAACCGTCACCACATGCCTGCTAGAGAAAGAGGGGGAAGCATGGAAATTAGCTGAGGGATCTCTCACAGTTGCAATACTGGTCTTCCTCAATGCTTAGATTTCTATAACAAACCAAGCCTCAGATCTGAATATTTTTTAACCCAACAAAAGGGTCTTTCTTTTGAGTTGAAATGGAGGATATTACGTTCCATTTGAGTGTTACAGTAGCATTTGATTTAAATAAAGGACACAAGACAAATAGGTTTTTCCTTTTTCCTTCCATTTGCCTTGTTTTATATACAATCTGCTCAGGCACTTTATAACGACTCTCAGTAAAAAAAGCAGTCAGGGTTTGTTGTATTTTTTCAGGCACTTATATGTCCTCTCAGCCTCTGAGTCATCTAAGTAGGGGTAAAGATCAAAAGGAAGAGGGCAGTGCAGTCTATTAAGAGCCGGAGTGTGCTTAGAATACCTCAACCACTGATGATAATAACAAACAAAGGGCCAAAAGCAATAACCAGGATTGGATGCAAACACACGGTTACCAATAGACAATACTTCACTGACCTCTTTGGATAATTTTGGACTAAAATGCATTAATGACACTTGGGAGCATACAGTAGTTTGCTGCAACAAAATAAGACATGGCAAAAAACAAGTGCATCAACAACATCACAAGTCTACTACTGCTGTTTTTCATACTAACATTAATACAAAAAAAGAAAGTTGACAATAAAAAACACATTCACAATCAATGTTTATTTATTATCCGTGGCAGTAACGTATTACAGTTATGTCATAACTTTTTTTCCGTAATATGTAATGTAAGGAATAGCAATTGGAAATTCAAGAACTACACTACTGTCACTTATCCCAATAACACTCTGTAAGCTTGGCGCTGGAGATGCAGTTTACCAAAGGAGTATAAATGTCCCTCCCAGTAACTCCAATTTATTTTCAAGTAGTGGGCTTGCTAAAGATCGCCAATGTTACATTCATTTATTTCCTATTTATGTTTAGAGTCAGGGCTAACTCCATAGCTTAAGCTACAGTCATTGTGGCTCTCGTTAAGCTAACTGTTCGGTAAATATATCCAAATAAGGCGTCCGCTTGTTAAACCATAATGTCTCATTTGTTTTGTCTGCACACCAATTAAAAACTGAATTTATTGATTGGTATTGAACATTTGGAGAGTTTTAAAGCTACCTCAGGTTTAAAATAATGTAGCTAACTTTAATTACTTTTCTCTGTACCCGTGGTATGGCTATTTTTTCAGTCCTGTGGGACAGTCTCCCAGCTTTAAAGACCGAGAGCTGGGGGGAGCCTGTTTAAGAGGAAGTAGTGGATGAGAGGAAATTACTTTCCTGAGGTTAATATAGCCTTGTGGTTTTCCTAGTAGCCGTTCACAGACTCACTCGTAGTCACCGCTGACATGGTCTCTCCATCAATGCCAGCAGCTAATGTCAAATTTATCTTCCTCTAATCTCAGATTTATCCCACTATTTACAAAGCAAAATCAAAAAGCCTTCAAGGCAAGTGAGGCATCATCAAAGGAATGCTTTGGGAATAATGAGAACATCTGGGAAATGTGTACAAAATTAAATAATATATAGATGTATTTTTGTACTATAGAACAAGCTGGCTTTTTTTTCATGTGTACACTCATGTAGTATTTAAACAGTTTTATTAATGTAAGTCTTTTTTTCTGTCATGCAGGAATCTGATGCCTCGCACTCTGGAGGGCCAGATCACCATGGAGAAGACCCCCAGTTACTTCATCACCAAAGAAGCCCCTCGCCGTGTTTTCTCCATGAGCCGCCACACAAAGCTCATCGTGGTGGTTCGTGACCCCGTGACCCGGGCTGTCTCTGATTACACCCAGACTCTGACCAAATCTCCCGGGCTCCCGTCCTTTCAGAACCTGGCTTTTCGCAACACCACCACAGGCCTCATCGACACAACTTGGAGTGCCGTGCGCATCGGCATCTACGCAAAGCACCTCGAGAACTGGCTGCGCTTCTTCCCGCTCTCACGTCTCCTATTTGTTAGCGGAGAACGCCTCGTGACGGACCCAGCGGGCGAAATGGGCCGGGTCCAGGACTTCCTGGGGCTCAAACGGGTGGTGACGGACAAGCACTTCTACTTCAACCAGACCAAAGGTTTCCCGTGCTTAAAGAAGCCAGAGGGGAGCAGCAGGCCTCGCTGTTTGGGGAAGTCGAAGGGTCGGCCTCATCCCCAAATCCCCTCTGAGGTCCTGCATAGGCTCAGAGACTTCTACAGACCCTTCAATCTCAAGTTTTACCAAATGACCGGCCACAATTTTGGCTGGGACTGAACGCCTACTCACCAAAGCTCTTAAAAACTGTTAGTAGCGTTCTTGTTCAGCCAACTACCCAAAAACCAGACAGGGATATCTTAAAGACTGTGTGTTACCAAAGCTTTTACTGTGCAAAATATGGCATTTCTTTATTTTTTAAGCTATGAAGACTTTTTCATCACGATTTACAACAGCAATGCTAACAAGGGTTGTGAGGGCCTCAATCCCTTGGGCTACTTCAGCAAAGCTTTTGGGAAGCGGTGGTTGCTGATTCGAAATGACAACCACAAGCCAGATGGAAGTCGTATTTGCACTTGGCACCCCTAGAAGCAGGAGTGTGATAAGCTCTTATTGCTCTCCAAAATATTGAAAATATCTCCGGAAATGTGCCAACAACAGATGTGCCTAAAATATATAAATGGCAAAAGAGTAACGAGCCTTAACAGCTTGGCAAAGCTACGATGAAATGTTGGAGCTTCCAGAGAAGCATGGGAGCTCTGCTAAAAAAACTACAATCCTTGACAGCAAGGAAAGAAACAAATGGTTTTGATTTAAGCACAATCAAAATAAATAAGTCTTCAGAATTATTGAATCACATCAGCATTGTTCAGTTCACCTCTGTCACATTTACACGGTGGTTGCCGTTTTAGGAAGTTATGTTTTTTCTTTAGTTCTTTCAATGAAAACTTTTTTTCTGGACCGTCTTTGATTTCAAATGAAAGCTTAAGTATGGTGGGAACAGTACCAGCATTTTAAAATGCAATCCGTTATGTGCCGTAAATTTGCTGATATTTATGTTGCCATTTCAATGCTTGTATAAAATGTTCTCTACAGACAAAACCAGCATCTGTGATTGTTTTCGACTTCATTTAACCAACACTCACCTCCACAAACAGTACTTGTAACTGTATATTTCTAAAAGATTAATTTATAAGAAGACAAAATATTGTTCTGATGTTTTTCTCTGAGACCTTTGTATTTGAAATTCTGACTAAAACTTTTCTTATTCTAAAACATGTGTTTTGGGGCTCATTTTTCTGAGAAGCACTCTGTCCATCCTCTTTGTATTTGATCCAAACAAACTAATGTTTCTGCTGCCGGGAATCTAAAATACATCTGCTGAGTAGATGATTCTTTACCAGACACAGGCAGAGGAAAATGCAAATAATCACTGTGTTGTGCAACCCAGTCTCACGGCATTTCGTGTTCACCAACACGATTTTTAATCTATTGATTCGTGTTCACCAACACGATTTTTAATCTATTGATTCGTGTTCACCAACACGATTTTTAATCTATTGATTCGTGTTCACCAACACGATTTTTAATCTATTGATTCGTGTTCACCAACACGATTTCCCCCTTTTTTGTCGTGTTGCACAGCACGATTTTAAAAGCAATGTATTTCTACTGGTAATTTGTTTCGTGCCTGCAGCACGTCTTTTTCTCCAGTCGGGTCGTGGAAGACCGGAAGCTGTGTGGTTCATAAAAACATGTTCTTACTCAATATCAAGCCACAATTATTGCTTTTATTTTAAATCGTATAATTTCGGACTTTTGTTGCCATCTGTGAGGAAAATAAATGGGGCTCAGAGCCTCAGAATACTGAAATCTGTATTTTTTAAATCTTTTTTTCCTTCTAATTTGTTATTCTTTTCTAAATAACACACTGTTATTTACTCACCAATAACACACAATTATCCTTGCTTTTATTTATTTGTTTAATTCCATAATCTCGGGCTTTTTTGGCGTCCGTCAGGAACTGAATTTCAAAATAAAAATAACCGGAAACAGACGTAGGGATTTCGAGCGATTACCTAAGATCCTCAGCTATGGTTTAAGCTCGCTGATTGGATGTTTTAGCCGCAATGCATGCTGGGATTTGGTGTTTATATGATATTAAATACACCGTAGTTGTGTATATGATATGTCAATAAACCTTTGAAAATCTTGAAATCTTGAAAGGGATGTGCAAAATAGCCATAATATACAGTCTTTAATTAACTATTAGTAGAGAATAACGAGTAATGAATATACCTTATTACTCGTTTCCATTCATGTCAATTGCAGATAAATGTTTAGTCTTCTCAAGCACCAACTATCAAATATCTCTCCTGATTGTCAAGTGCCAACAATCAGGTTTTTTTTTTCAAAGGTTGATTTTTATATTCTATATTTCTATCACAAACCTTCTACTTTCCTCCTATGAAAGTATGTACTCTTCATATTTTTTTAATCAAATATAACACATCAAAACAATAATTCAATAACGTGCTTTAACCACTAGGCGGTGCACACAAGGTACACACAGCCATAATAACTTTGTATTATTAGTGTAGGACACTTAGCAACCAATTAGCTTTGCTTAGCATAAAGACTGAAAAGTGGGGAAACAGTTTACCTGGCACTGTTCAAAGGTGATCAAATACGCCAACGAGTACTGATTTGAGAAATACATGTTTGCACTTTTTTTGCTAAGAGATAGATAAGAGTAGCCATTGTCACGTCTGTATGCTAAATATAAAGCTACAGCTAGCAGCAATTTCGCTTAGGAATGGAAACAGGGTGAGCAAGCTAGTTTGACTTTATGACTTTTATACAAAAGACATCAAATATGCCTATCAGCACCTCGATAACTCATGATTATTTAATTCACTTGGGTTACATTCATCAGAGCTAATAGCTTCCCCCCTGTTGTCAGTCAACCCTAAGCTAAGCTAACAGGCTGCTAGCTATAGCATCAACGAGTGGTCAGTCAGTCTTTAAAAAACACCTTCAAGTTGCAAAGGTTGGTGTTTGTAGTGACTGATCAGGGGGTTATGAGGGGTCATATGGCTGCAGGGGCTACATTTGAAGTTAACGCAGGACAGTGGCTTTTCTGGTGTGTAAGCAATCAATTCACTGGGGTGATTGGAGACCTTTTGGGAATGGACAATCTTTGACCTCTTTCGCTCCCCCTTGACCTGTGAGCCTGCCCGCCATAAACTGCTGACCGCTACCAACACGCTGGTTAATGGAGTCACCCTGCATGAGCTATGAGCATGCCCTCACACACATGCACACACACAGATAAACACACACACGGGTATACAACAACTCCCCCCCGATCCATTAATATTGCATTCTCAACCTCTGGGACCTCCACTGAAGGGAGGTGGTCCGGATCAATAACTGCCTGTTTAGTTTATAGGCTGCAGGGATATGTGCTTATACCTACATGTCCCACTGTCACTTTGATTTAACTCAGAGGTCGAGCATGGGCCGCTATCACACATTTGGAAAATATTATTTAACACCTGATATATCCTGCATACATCTGTAATCGATGCAGGACCTTTACACAAGGGAGCACACATGCTGGACCAGTAAATGACTTTAATCTTTCCATGTTCATCCATCTACTTTCTTATTCATGCAGATGTTGAAATTGATATTTCATTTAAGGACAACAATGGAATCAATTTTAGGTTGAGTTGAGTTGATTATAATTACTACCCAACTCGTCCATTCCCATTTGAACTACAAACTTTATAGCATGCTTATTGCAGTTTTTTATCATGTTTTATTTGATTTATCTCTTGTGTTTTTGCAGTCAAAGCTGTTTTGTTGCATAGGACCAACATTTGAATTGAATAATTGCCAGGTGTCTATGAATATCGCTCCAAATTAATGTTGCTTTATATCTGTAGATGTTGTTTGTTGTTTTTCCAAAGAGCAAAATAACTGAAAACCGGATAAGAAAACCTACAATATCAAATAGTTTCATGTAAAAAAAGCCACTTAAACTGCCAACGACATTTTCAGAATATAGTTTAGACAATGATCCGGTATCTCCATTCATATTTACTAAAATGTGTAGCATTAAACAGGTGGGTGGTGTTGATTTTCCACCCAGCATACTCTCCAGTTATAAAATACCTTCGAGTCACACAGCCCCATTCATGTGTGAGGAGTGCGTAAAGGGAACCAGCCAGCTATGTCGTTGAGTTTCCCACTGGTGAAAAGTTTCCTTTATGTCTCTCTCTGCACCAAAGAGCCCTGGGACTTGAGATAACGGCAAATCTCTCATTCATCAGCTGACTGAAGTTATTCAGGCCTGAAGGTATTGATATGCAAACAGGCTGGTTCAGCTGCAGGTTTGCAGAACAGGCCTTTATCCAGAAAGTCTCCATTCCTGATACATTTCTGTACTGCTCACACAATGACCTCCCTGTCAATGGTGCATGTGAGCATCTGGCTTCACTGCATAGAACCCAAACCCGCACGGATTAAACCAAACCCGGATATTGGGATGGATGGGCGAATATCACCCCTTCAGATCTTTACACCCATAATGAAAGTGACTAGTGACCCCTGTGGAGGAGGTCAAGTGTCCTCAGTCGGGTGGGCGAGGAATGGCTGCTTGAGGATTGCCCGACCATTTGCCAGCCTGCTTTAAGGGCACTGCATGGGTGCAATCAGGCATGGAACAGCTAGAGGACAGGGGGAAGTGAAAAACACTTGCCCATCAGAAAAACAGCCAACAGCACTGCCTTGTACGGACAGGATAAGTCTTGTTGAATTTGGTCAAATCTGACCATCAGTTCTGAAAAACCAATCCCAATACTCAAACTAAACATTGTGCAGAAACCATCGTTGTCCCTACCAAATGTCATGGATAAATGATAAGATGTACGTAAGTTTGTGTACCAAAGTGAAGGACTGTCTTTCTCACTCACAAACACATTTATGATATGTTGCATTAAGGCAATAATGAATCTTAAACAGAAACCCCTTTTCCTTGGTCCAGCCAATATACAATTCAGAGCATTTTAGGCAAAAAGTTGCTTGCCAAAAATACCAGGTTTTCCTTTACTTAAAGTGCAAGATGTGACGACATCCCTCTGTGTGTCATAGGTTGGAAAGTGTTGATGGAGATTGCAACATCTGCTGATTGACATCTTGCTAAAAATCTTTTTTTCCAATACACCTTGTTACCTCATTAATCTGAATACAATGGTTCTGCTCAAAACTGGTCAGAATATGGCCTGGTTTGCTACTAGTTAGTACAGAACAATTTCAAGGACCAGATCAAATTGGGTATGTAAACATACATTTAAATAAATAATTACTAGTGTAATTAGCCACATCCTGCCACTGTTGTACTCTAAAAATCAAAGTGAACTAGCACTTAAATTCAGGCGTGTTTTATTCCCACAGCAGAGCACTTAATGTCCTTAAAATCCACACAAGGCCTACTACTGTCCATACTCCACTTTCTCTCTCCTGAAGTGACTCGGGCAACTGGTCTTTGCTCCAGGACTCTGTCTCTTCTCTCTGGAGGTCAGGATCAGCCGTGTGGCCCAGAGGTCAGAGTTCAAAGTGCCTTCATCCACCAGGGTCATCTATGGTCATTTGACCCTCATATGCACAGGGTTATTCTCAGACCAATAAGGGGAAAGTGATTGCGATCTCTTAACGTCGCCATGTAATGGACTCATTTACTGTGAATGATAGAGCTATATTGGTCATTATTGGGGAAATTGCTCAGGGAGGAACCCTTTGTTTGACATTATTATGAATGATCCCCTTACGTTGTGCCAAATTGCAGCTGAGTTTGACTACGGTGGGATTTCAATCAGCTTGGAAATAACACAACTCAATGTAACATATCTTGAAAAGAAGCACATATTTTACGAAACAACTGCTTACCAGAGGGAATTCTTTGTGGGTGGGGTGTGCCTGGTGGTCATTTGATAGAGGAGTCATCTGTTGCCCTTTGACCTCAAAGTCTGGAAGTGTGAGAGGGGGAAAGTCTGCCGTCAGCCACACATACCTGATTCTGACACCTTAACTCTAAAAACC